GAATTTGAGGCAACTATCTACCATCACACCTAGATTTCGTACTTGGGGAGAAATTAATTGATTTAAAGATTCAAGGTCAAGGTGATTTCTTGGCCTGGATTTTGAAGGGTCAAAAACAATGACTTCTGTTTTGTCTGAGTCAAGCCAAGCGTTCACATCCTCAAGACATGCTGTTAGATTACCTAGAGCACTCTTATTTTTCCTAGACACAGGCATATAGATTTGCATATAATCAGCATAACAGTGAAATGAGACATTATGTTTCCCTGAAGATGGAACCCAGAGGGAGAACATAGAGAGAAAAAAGGACAGGAGCTAAGACAGAGCCTTGAGGCACACCACAGGATAGGTTGCGAGGGGGAGAAGAAAAACTTCCTATTTTTTCAGAGAAACGTCTATTGGTTAAAAAGGATTTAAAACAGCAATTTATTTAGCAATAAATAAAAGAATATAATTTTTTATTGCTAAAATATTTTAGATATTCAGATATTTCTAAAAGCATCTCTGATTTAAACTTCAGTAGCAAAAATGCTGATAGTGTTTGGAATTGATTAATTTTTATGAATAAGTTCAAACTGTCCGTTTCAATGAATCAAAACACAAAATAAACGATTTGTTTGTATTATAAGCAGAAAATGACGCCCTAGAACAGCGGTACTCAAAATTTTTAACTTGAAGGCTCGCCACTGTCAAACACAGGCTCATCTGCATCATGCAGGAGTTCCATGAGCCACACTCGCGACGTGACATTTGCAACAATGTCGCCGGAAATTTGCTCTAGTAGTCACCAGATGGCCTCAGGGGGTTCACCCTCCTCTCAAAAAATCTATATTGAGTGAAGGCTAGTCTCACCCTGCAAAGAGTAAAGGACAGCCTACTCAACTGACACGCAATCATTGCGCTAATACAAGGGCTTTAAACTATGTTAGCTATGTGTATATGCTTTTTCAAATGGTAAAGAAAAAAAAAGACCTATGGTTTTCACGGAGAGAGATCTTAAAGTTTTCCAGAATATAGTAAAGAGAACCCTAAAATTTACAGATGAAGACAATAGCAAAGTATGAAGAGAACCGTGTAGTTACCTGCACACACCAGTTTATCAATATGTCCTTTCTTCCATTTGAGAAGGTCTCCTCCTTTTCCACAGCCGAGATCCAACACGGTCACCTCTCTTCGTCTTCGCCTCACCTTGTCCAAGATGTCCGCTGAGGAGACCAACACACAGACCTCAGAACAACAATTCTGTGAGATCCTGCTTGCCATTCCACTCAACTGAGTTTATTACCATCTAACCCAACCACAAACAAGCATGCCACTGTATGGCAGCCACACGGAGGTGAACGCAAGCCTGTGCTGCTTCTCACCTATAAGCACACTCTTTAACCAGTTGTTGAAGTTGCGCATGTGGACTATCCTGCTTTTATTGCGCTCTGCCAGGCCACGCTCCTGAAGCTTGTTGTAATGTGTGGCCACTTTCTGACTGTGTAACGATTCCTCGGTGGCCTGCAAAACAAAAAAAACATGTTTTTAAAAAACTAAACTCAAACTAAACGGAGGAGAGCAGGGCTAGACGACACACTGCAATGTTAAAAATTCTTGTTTTCTTTTGAATATAAGTTTTCCCAACTATGACGATTTCTGCTTCTGAGAACCCCAGAAACATGAAAAGAGTTACTGAGCATTTTATAGATTTCATGCATTTCAAATTCATACATGTTGTCAGAATGAGAGTCCAAACAGCTCATAGAAACAATACAATAATCCACAAGTAATCCACACTAGAGCCCTGCGCAGGACTGTTTCAGCTCCCGCTGAATTTCTAACTATCCGCTATCAACATGCGGGGTATTAAAATCTCTTTTGAATGAGCGCTCGCCGTTCACTTTTCCGATTTCGTGCTTAAACGTACTCCATGTAAAGGGAGCACGTTTTACAAGATCAGATATTTGTCAATGAGCTCAGGATCTGTCTCTCCTTACTCTCGACCCCTGACCAGTCAAATCTGACTCCTGCAGCTTGTGTTGGATGCAGGGGTTGTTAAGTCAGCGATTTTCCACGGAATTGAGCTACTTTTAAACTGTTGCCGTGGGTTGATTTTCTCCCGTGGGTTAAAGGTTTGAAATATTGCATAAATTACATTTGACTGAAATGTTTGCATTGAAACATTTTGCATCCTACCTATGAAAAAACTGTGCTGGATGTTAGGTTTTGTGAAGGAGGCAGGTATAGAAAGCCTTTCAGCTGTTTTTATGATCAATTTGCATAACAGTGACTGTTATGCCCTGGCTGTATGGAGCAGAGCAGACTCTTTCAGTTTAGTGTAAGTTTTCCAGCTGAACTAAATGATTTTATTTCTAAAAAACAAAAACAAAAAAAACAAAAAACCGGCACTTTCTTAAATATTTTATATTGTGCATCACACATTTATTTTGGATATGATGCAAAATAAGTAATTTTGACTATTTTGCATTTACATGTGTGACCTTGAAGGAATCCAAAAGTAATCGGATTACATTACTTTCAAAGTGTGGTGCTTGGATTAAGTTACTGAATACTTTTTTCATTAAGTAATTTGTGACTGTAATGGAATACATTTTTAAAGTAACCCACCCAAGCCTGGTGATTGGTTAAAAACGCGTAAAAAGAAATGTGGTGCAACATGAGCAGATCTTAACTTAATGCCGCAATCGACACTTTTCATTAATTTTCAATTTGTTTGCAACAGACGTAATAGATTTAATTTAATTGTGCAGGGGCTAAGACACACGCTCTGCCTATGATAGTATGGGTAACTAGTTATGATTAATTATTCATATTTCCCCATGAGCTGATTCGCTACAGATGGATTTGTTTATGCACAATTTTTCACTTCACAAGACATTAACTGATGGACTGGAGTGCTGTGGATTACTTGTGAATTATTGTGATGTTTTTATCAGCTGTTTGTACTCTCATTCTGACGGCACCCATTCACTGCAAAGCATCCATTAGTGAGACAGTGATTCAGTGCTACATTTCTCCAAATCTGATGAAGAAACAAACTCAACAACATCTAGGATGGCCTGAGGGTGAGTTCATTTTCAGCCAATTTTCATTTTGGGTGAACTATTCCTTTAAGAGCCATAACTCAGTTTTAATAAACAGTAAATATTCTGAGAATAAATCCCTGGAGTAAACAACTAGCCCCAGTCTCTGTGTTTATATAAAACTATAAACTTTCTTACAGCCAATGTGCATTAAATGTCAGCCATGAGTGCGAGCTCACCTGCTTCTTACTGGGAGAGTGATCTTCTTCATCACCGTCCCACTGTCTCTTCAGTGATGAGGATGATGAGGATGAAGCTGAAGTCTGGGAAGCTGCTCCTATGCTGTCCTGATCAGCACATTTCCTGTCCGCCTCAAACAAGCCTTTGAACAGACAAGTAGTACATTAACATTTACGTTATGAAATGTGCGTTCAGCTTTTAAATACACTAATGGACCACATAGAAAACACACATCAAGAAAAAATGATTTGAAATGGAAAGCAATGCATATAAATGAAGTGTATGCAGACAGATCAATGTGAAGGTAAACTAGCAGTGCGTCAGTGTTGCGCTCATAACAGCACGTGCTTCATCTGCTCAGAGACTGACAGACACTGCTTGAACTTAGAATGAGACAAACATTATACATCATATTATATATATGATTATGTAACACACAACACGCTGAAGACTGAATCAATGTTGCTGCACTCACTCGACTTTTGCGCCATCATGTATCCCCAAGCAGCGCTCTCGCTCTCTCTCCACGGATCTTTACTGCTCTGTTTCAGATGAGAGAGCGGCCGCAGCGCCGCCTACAGGACCGGCGTCTACAGCAGCAGCGTACTGTCGTCTCACTGCTCACTGCCAGTGCGTTTTAAAATTACTACATGATGGAACTAAATGCAATATGGAACGATAAGCATTAAACATTGAACATCACTTCACTATTTAGCACGTGCACTTCAGCGCCTCCAGTTGGATCTCCAACCTATTATACTTTTATTCGGACCGCTTTATGGATGTATGCTATTCCAAGCATATAGCCTAAGCGTAAAACTTCACAAATAGATATACTAATAAATAGAGAGAGAGAGAGAGAGAGCGAGAGAGAGAGAGAGAGAGAGCGAGAGCGAGAGCGAGAGAGAGAAATAGTGGCATTTTAAATTAAATAGTGGCATTGACTATCTACAGTACTATACTTTACTTTTGTTAAATTATTGGTATTACACTGATGTTGGAAGCATGTATATTTATATGCTTAACATATTGTGATATTAATATTTCCTTATTTTACTATTTCCTTATTTACAATCTTTAAAATCTTGCTATTTCACTCTTTATTTAGTTGAAAATAGGCAAATCCTGTTTTATATACATACATACACACACACACACACACACACACACACACATATATATATATATATATATATATAAACATAGCAAAAAAAAACATTTACATTTACATTATTTACATTTGTAAAAAATAAAACACAAATTTATCCATCCACAATTTCTATGCTAAATATTATTTTAATTAATATATTGTGCTGTTCTACTGGAATTGTTGTGAAGAGTGTGTGAGTAGTCAAGGCAAGGGTATAAATGAAGTCTGTCTCTAGTGGTTACTCTTCAATACTTTGCTTGTATTAAGGGCGTTGTTCTAAAAACGAGTAGATATTGTACTGGAATAAGGAGGGTAATCGTGCCTTTAGCACATCGGGACACAACAATGTTTGACGAAACCGTTAATATTTAGTAAACTTTGAGGAAGCAATAACTAGAATGAGATGTTATATATATATATATATACCACTTATTTAGAAAATACTAATCTTTTGTCGTCTGCGACGAGTATGCTTCGCTATACGGAAGTGAAGTCACTGGCTGAGCTTCTACCGGAAATACGTACATGTAGTCCGTTCTCATCATCAGCACGACTGTACTCCATTTCCCACAACGCATTGCGCGCGGTCACCATGTGTGGTGTCGCGTTGCTCAGGGTCTCTGAATGACAGAAAGGACATGAATAAATGCTTGTGTGTGGTAGGGAAGTCACATCATGCCGGATCTAATCACTCCTGTATGTAGCTGTGCACATTTCTCATGGCGCTTTGTGTGTTTAGACACAGGACGGGTACAACTTTGATTAGTTTAGCAGGTCAGTCAGTAGACATCCCTTAGCAAAGCTAACGCTAGCTGACTCACGTTTGGTGACTACCGTAACACTTCACAAGTTAATACGAAACATTTGAGTTTTAGGAGGTCGGTCTGTGATTTCTCCCCTATAAGGCTTCTTTGTAGATGTGACTGAGCACGTGCAGCTGATTTATTAATTTTTTCTTCAATGTTTTCAGCTGCTGAACCGATGGGATATTGAAGGTAGGAAAAATAATTCACGTCAACTGATCTGATACACGGGATTTATTATAAATCTACAGGGTTTGCCTGTTGTCAACCAAAGAATAAGTGGAATCACAAGCTTCGAATAAAATCAGGCTTTATAACACATTGTAATGGGCAGTAGAAAATATGGACAAATCTTTAGTACTCTTGAAAACTGTTTGGTAAATATATGTGCTTCTAATATCAGTGTAATACCAGTAATTTAATACAAGTAAATTACGGCAGATACTGATGTGGTTACCGCTATTTAGATTTTTCTTTTTTCTTAACAACAAATCGTCAGATACTGTTAACAGTTTGACTGAAATTTAAATTGAAAATCTTTTTTTTTTTCTTCAATGTCAGCAGCACTCGAGCTAACTTGTACTATTACTATTGAAATTATAAAATGTATATTAAAATTCTCTATCATAAATTAAACTGATTCAAAGAGCGTTTTGAGCGTCAATAGAATTATTTATTTTATTTTTTCTAGAAATAGTGCATTTTTTTCATGTAATGTTGTTTCTCCTTTTTTAAAAATACCTTTTTTTAATTCCTTAAAACATTTTTGGGTTTAAATATAATAAAAATTAGGGATGCACCGATATGAAAATTTTGCCCGATACCGATTATTCTTTATTTTTGAAAGCTGATAACCGATATGTTGGCCGATAAATCTATATCAAAATTTTTTTATACTTTTTGAGAGCCTGATTACAAATAAGGTCTCATCATTAAAAGCCACATCCCAAACACTTCAACATAAGCAGCCTAGTTTGAACCATAACAACGCGCTGAAACACGGCAACTAAACCCAAAGAATTCACAACGTTTTATTGTTCTCATTAGAATGTTATATACACGACATTCCCAATCATAGTTATTAATGTTGTGCACTGCTGTTTGAGCTGCGTGCGCTGAGCTAAAGATGATCACCGGTAAACTGAAGTGCTCTTTTAACTTAACCAAACGCATTCTATATGAGATAAATCAGATATACATCAAATAAACACAATATTACAACGTACAATTGCACAAAAGGCTGCAAACGAACAGCGCGCATCTGAAGTGTCTCTGAAGGAAATAATGCATTATTTATCGGCTTTAAGATATCGGCCAAATTTTCTTATCGGGCCGATACCGATAACAGAAAAAATTAGCATTTATCGGCCGATACCGATATGGTGGCCGATATATCGTGCATCCCTAATAAAAATGATAAATAGTCTCAATGTGGTCTCAGACTGTTGTTTGTGTATCTCATACTACTGACCATCCGCTTATATCTTGAGAGTTTTCTTCATTGTCATTTGTGATCTCGTCTTCTTTACTTCGGACGTTCTCTTGCTCTCACAGTCAGGTCCCTGTCAGACTGTGGTCTTGTCCCTCTGTTGGCAGACCGTTGGGAGCAGAAGCTTGTTTGGGATGCAGCGGTTAGTGTGCGCTAGAGTCTTCCGGCAGACTGCTGTCCTGCTGCAGATCAGTCCTCCGCCCCGCAGCCGTCCCGCGGCCCACAGCTGCTGGAAACACCTGAGCTCTCAGAGAAACACCAGCAGAGATCATCCGGGAAGCCCTGCTCCAGGGCAGGAGGATCCGGACCCTCTGCAGGACAAATCCAGCGGCCTCATTCAGAGATTCAAGAAAACCTTTAAGCAGTACGGCAAAGTCGTGATCCCTGTGCACCTGCTGACCTCTACAGTGTGGTTCGGCACTTTTTACTACGCTGCAATGAAGTAAGTCGATGATGGATCACAACTGTGTCAATTTAGATCGAAATAATACTTGCTAGTCGAAGACCACTGAGTGAATCACAAATCAAATTTAGTGATGAACGCTATGGGTTATTTAACAACTGATAATAATATCTAGCAGGGCTGTACAATCTGGAGACACATTTCTGATATAGTCCAGGGTCACATTTGTGATTGCAGTTTAAAAATGCTATTTAAAAGAAATTCTAGGTTTGCTGTGCTTGTTGGTAGGACTGAATAATTTGGCCATAATTTTGAGATTATCAATATGGCTATAAAATAATAATAATAATAATTATTATTATTATTTTAGTACTAAATGAAAAATATTACAAATACGTAATAAAAAGCAATATTATTATAATACTGTTGTAATAATTTTACTGTAAATTAAAAATATATATTTCAAGTGTTTAAGAAAAATAATACAATATTATTATTATTATTATATATTTTGATTAATTATGCAGCCCTAATGTCTAGAGAGAATGGTAGCTGGTGGGCAGTAAATCTTAATAACATTTTATAATAATTATGTTTTTTTAATAAACTGAAAAGTACAATAAAAATGATCTAATGCGACTGAAAATTTGCTGAATTTAAATCAACACTTTGCGCTCTCAGTATTTATCTGCTTCTTAATATCAGCCTGACTGATACAGTATATCGGTCTGTTATTGATGATATTTCAGACTGGTTAATTAAAGTAAAAGAAATAAAAACGAAATAACTAAAATGCCAATGTCCTATGAGAAGCGCTACATGAAGTTGTAGGTTCTGACAAAACAAACCAATGAATAAGGACTATCTGAGAGTTATGTAGGAGAGGTTAAGCTGGTGTGTGTTGCGGGGGGGTGTTAGGTAGGTACTGGGTCATTCTCTTTTTGCTCAGTCATTGTATGTGTATGGCGCGTGGTGGATTGAGGTAAATGGCACACTGGAATGTTTACTCTGCATTACATCTGGCTGAATGTGGGTCACCACTGTCTAGACGTTTGAGAAATGTGGGAGTAATGAATGCTTGAGAATTGGCTGTTTCATTCAGCATGACCTCACTCTGCAGAGAAGACAAGACGAGACCAGAGTCATCAGTTTGTCTCCTCAGATGTTCACCACCAGTCTTCACAGCCTTTAGCTCTTATTAAAGATGCCCATTTGGTCTAACTTGAACATTTGATTCTTAAAGAAGTATTACATTTCAGTAGATTTTTCAATATCTTCTGAAAACAAGAAGTGTATTTTTATCTTATTTTTTATTTTTAAATCTACTTTTTGTTCACTTTAAATATGTGATCGTGATAAACCACAGTGTCAGGGTTGTTATCATTAACTAAAACTATTAAAACATTTTGATCATTTAAATAAAATGGAAATATTGGCTGGAAAAGTTATTTCAGTTAGTTGCCAAGGCAACGTTTTTATTTTCGTTGAAAGTTCGAGCCTTACAATTAGTAAAAGGAAAAATAAATATAACCTAAAACTGAAATAAAAATAAATAGAACCGAAATATTAATATTTAGATAAAGTAATAATAAAAATGACAAAAAAAAAACAAACAACTAAAGTTAAAATGAAAACTGAGTATAAAAATAAAAGCTCAAAAAAATTCTAAAATAAATACAAATTAATAAAGACTATAATAGTATATAAATAATACTAAAAATGCACTGCTTAGTACCAAATTGCAAAAATTATGACCAAATTGCAGAAATTGTCTTAAAAGGATAGTTCACCCAAATAAGGTGAATAAAATTGTCATCATTTATTTACCCTCATGCCGTTTTTTTTTTATTGTTATTATATTTGTCTATACAATAGAAGTCGATGGCTACCAAAAGTGGTTGGGCTGCTAGGCCTGTCGCAATAATCAATATATCGACTTATCGCGCAATACATGTACATGACCTCAATTCTTTTTGGTGACGCAATATATCGCCCATTATATTTACTTAAAAATTAATGTCACCATGTTTTTTTACATTCCACTTCCATTATATTCTTAAAAATTAAAAGTTTGTTGTCATTTGGAAGTGTGTAGGCCTTCTTGCATTATTATGCTGTTACATTATGATTATATATTCAGTGGCATAAAATGGTCTTTAAAATGACAATATCGCTTATCGCAATTATTTCTGGGTCAATATATTGCACAACAAAAAGTTGTTATCGTGACAGGCCTATTACCAACATGTGAATAAATGACAACATAATGTTCATATTTGAAGAACTGTCCCTTAAGAAATGTAAGGCTTTTATGTGAAATGTCTTTCTATGCTTCCTGTCTTGTTTTGGTCTGTAGAGGAGTGAACTTGGTGCCATTTCTCGAGTACGTTGGGTTTCCTGATAAGGTGGTGAAACTCCTGGAGAATTCTCAGAGCGGCTACGCACTGACCGCTTATGCCATGTACAAGGTGGGCTAACTGTGTCGGTTTCCAGTGAATTAATTATATAAAATAATTTACTAATGTGTTGATTTTCTGATTTACAAATTAGAATGATACAAATAACCTTCTATAGAACTTAAAGGCTGGTTAATATCATGAAGATCAAAGCAAAATCAAGGGCGGTTCAGTTGTCCAAAAGAATTTGCACCTTGTAAAATTGAATAAATAGAGACTTTCAATAAAATGTATTTTCAGGCACAGTATCTTTTCCCCTCAAATGATTTCATTAGAATGTCATTGACATTTTTAAGCGTGAAGAACATTTTAATAATCAGAACAACCTTTTTCCATTATAATAAAGAGTCTTTTGTGCAATGGGAATGTCCCATGGATCTTAAAAGTTCTTCACGGAATCGTAGATTTCAATAAAGAGCCTTTATTTTCAAGAGTGTGACGCTCATGTTGTCTGCTCTCCTGAAGATCGCCACACCTGCGCGCTACACGGTGACTCTCGGAGGAACGTCGCTGTCTGTGAAGTACCTGAGGAAGCACGGGTACATGTCCACCCCTCCGCCCGTGAAGGAATACCTGCAGGAGAAGATGGAGGAGACCAAGGATCGTATATCCGAGAGGATGGAGGAAACGAAAGACAAGTTCACAGAAAAACTTCAAGAAACCAAAGACAAAGTGTCTTTCCGGAAGAAAAAGGAATAGGTTTATAGACTTACAAAAGGTCACGAAGTGACTTTATCCCCCCATGATTTCATTTAGATTCACTTTATTTAACAATATAATGCACTTAAGGCAACAACATGTCTCATGCATATATGAAGTAGTGTAATGTAGCCTGTAAGCTCTACACTTACTGTTCACAAAATCTGCTAAACTATCACAAGTGAGATTCATAAGTTGACCTTAGTTCCTAGATATAAAATGTCAGTCTGCTGAAAGCCGTTGGACTCTACTTGAAGTGTTTTTAACGGATGAGAGTGTGTTTTCTAAAGAGAACGGCAGGTGTAATGTGTCCAGTATCGTATATGTAATATTTTGTTGACTTTACCACATAGCACTGGCTCTTTCAATTCATGCATTTGTGAAATGTTATTTCAATTATGGATTCTAAACAGCAGACTTGTCACATACGTTGCTGAGAATGAAATGGTTGTGTCATTAAAATCTTGGCTGCGTCTGAAAGCCTAGGCAGCTGCCTTATGAGGCAATGACTTTGCAGGCAGCGTTTTTGCACGAAGGCACCTCACGAAACTGATTTCGGACAGGCTTCTGAGGCAGCGTAACGGATTAATGATCCACAACAAAATAGAACTAGTTTTGGTGATAACTACTACTACTATTTAGCAGTAATAATATTTCTATTGTATAGAAAGGTGATGAACACTGAAACAAGGTTACATAGTGGAAATAACAGACTTGTCACATACGTTGCTGAGAATGAAATGGTTGTGTCATTAAAATCTTGGCTGCGTCTGAAAGCCTAGGCAGCTGCCTTATGAGGCAATGACTTTGCAGGCAGCGTTTTTGCACGAAGGCACCTCACGAAACTGATTTCGGACAGGCTTCTGAGGCAGCGTAACGGATTAATGATCCACAACAAAATAGAACTAGTTTTGGTGATAACTAAAATATTTAATTACTATAGTACTGATTTCTCGTTAGAAATAACATCAAAAAGTGCAAAAAGTTAGTCAGAAATATACATTTACACACAAACTGGCCACCAACGCAACTTTCAGACGCCATCTTTAATTTTAGCTCAACCGTCACGGAATGGAACGCACAGGATTGTGGGATATCAAAGGCAACGAAGGATACATCTGCTGCCTTCAAAATTCAATCAGAAGAAGGTACTTCTGGAGACAGGAAGTGAAGCAGAATTTGGATTCGGACGTGGCCTTGATGCCTTATAGAGCTTTCGGACGCAGCCCTTGAATTTATTGTAACTTGGTATTACGCAAAAGAGTGTTGGTCAGAAAGCTGTAAGTGTACGTTAAGATGTAATACAGTTTGTCATTTAAAATACCGGAAAAATTCACAAATAGTGCTGACATTCATTCTGTGAATCATCAACAGCCTTTATGTCTTGTTTCCAGTTCAGTACACTCCTGCCATATTCATGTGTTTCATTTATGAGCTCGTGTTCAGCTGTCAGTGTCCGTGGGGTGTCACATTTCTCAAGTCCTGTTTTTCCTTGCTTTGGCATAGTAACTAATGAAGGTTAATAATTGAACTGATTGTCCGGCAGTAAATGTGTCTGCTGCTGAAGCACTCGGGCTGTTTGGGTCTGATGGGATTGTGAGGCCTTTTATTGTCTGCTGACGGATCTTCCACTTGGCTGTCAACAATAACAATAAAAAAGATAAACATCTCATCCTATTTCACCAAGCATGAAGTAAAATTGAAATGTTTTGAAAGTTTTTTTTAATATGCATATTGGATATTTTTCTTAAATGAGCATTTATTCTTTATGGTAGTTAATGACCAACAGCAAAATTAGAATCATTTGTGAATTATAATCAAAATGTAAAGGTGCAGCACATTTTTGTAGCATTTCGTTTTTGTCAGTGTGGATGCTTAAAGTTGCCATTTCATACCAGAGCTGTTTTTATAATACTCAAATCAAATGATTTTTAGATTCAGTTCGACTAAGTTTTGCAGATTCTGGGCGACCACTGCTGCAAGGCCTCTCCTATCATTGGAAAAGTGCTGGAAATGATCATCTCAGTCAAATGGCAGACCCTACGAGGAGGAAACCTCCCTTACCATGTTTTTCTCGGCCCCCCCAGAGTACTAATTATTTCCTTTATCTAAACTTGGTCCAAAATTAACATTTAGTGAATTCAGAACATTTACATGAAACTACTTTTCATTATTTTTCAAAATTATTTTCTCTTTGACAACGGTAAATTGTTTGGCTGTAACTTTCTCGTCATTTACTCCCGACATCTGAGCTGCTGAAGATGCAGAGGATTAACGTTACTTTCGCTTTGAAGTGAATTCGCCACTCCCGATCAGCCTAAATGCATCTACACATCTCATCTACAGAAGAAGTGAGTATAAGGTTTTTTTATGAATCTTTGCAAATCGCCTTTCCTAATAATGTGCTAATTAGCAAGTTTCACGATGAATGCGGCTAAAGTAACTCTCTGAGAGCAGCTCGGAAGAGAGGGGCGGGGCCAGCAGAGCTCATTAACATTTAAAGCAACATGGACTATAATGGCTTGATTAAAAACAGAGCTGATTTTGACAGGTTTAAAAAGGTGTTTTTTACACAAACATTGCGAAATTTTAACCGAAGTATGTTATAGACTTTTAATTAAGACCCTAAAGAATCATATCAACTTGTGCAAAATGAGCATCCGATGAGACCTTTAAAATCACGAGTAGCTAGTTTGCAGCTTGTGAAACTACAGTTTTATCTTTATTTTATAAGTATTATTTTTGTATTTAAATAGGGAAAAAAGAGGATGTATGGTCACCCGAAAAGGCAGTTGTAGTTCACTTCACCTTGAGGAGCACAACAAAATGACAAACACAAAGCACAAAAGAGACTCATTCTCCGGTTCTTTTCCTCAACTTTAATTGCTCTCTCTCCAGCCATTTGATGACAGCGAAAGAACAAGCGTGGAATCGTTTCATGAGGGACTACAACAGTATCTTTGAGCAATAGTTTTCTTGTATTTATTTTTTTATGATTTTTTTCGGTTGGTTTTTAAGTCACCTTTTTCCTGTAAAAGTATTGCAATTAACAGACCTCAAACTGAAAACCGCTGACATCACAATTAAATAGAACAATAGAAATAAAATAAAAAGGCGTAAGGACAGCAGCGTTCCTCGCTTTCACTGAACCGTTTCTCCTTGTAAAAAACAACAAAAAAAAGTTTGTAGTCCACAATAGGTCATACAGTCCCGTGATGTGATCTCGCTCGAGGCCGATGGAGAACGTTGCTGTGGATTGGCGGGAAATTCCAGATCCATGGAACGAGATGCTGAACTCACCCACACAAGTCTTCAGGCAGTCATTCACTCGCTCGCGGATTCGTTCATTCAAGCGCGTGTTTCTGGAAAGGAGCCTGTCAGCGCGGAGAGCTCGGAACCAGACTGCTATGCCGAGGAAATAATGACAACGTGAACATGCAGTAACGATCAGCTATGGGCTGCATTTTCCTCATTTGATGCTCTTTTATATACCACACAACTCGATTATGTGCATAAAAACAACAGAATGTTATCCGTTTCCATCGGATGTGTCTCATGTGTGTCTCACCCTGAGCTGCTATTTGATATGAACCACTAAACCTTCTTCCCGGTGTAGTGTCAGAGCCCAAAAAAATCGACAATCCGTTCCGTTCGTTGCAATGAGTTATTATTCTGCGTGGTTATTATAACACAACAGCTAGCAGTCACAAAATAAACTTCAATAAATAAAATGACAAGCGCTGGCATTTATAAGTCTTTCTCTGGAAGTTACAAAAGCAGCAGAGCTCTAGTTATCCTTTATATAACTGCCTTATAATCAGAATATTTGTTTCATCACATAACAGATTTGCATTTACTGTATAGGAACAAAAATATAAGTCTTTTTGTATTTCTGTGACCATACTTTAGCATTTCTCTTTACTCTGTTTTACAAAAAAGACAAAGCACAATTGAAGGCATTCCCAAAACTTGATGCCACCATGTTAAAGTTTTCTTTTTAATATTATCTATACATTATATTACAGTATTAACAATGCGTTCTTGTGGTTTTCTACCCATTGGGTAGGATATGTGCATAATATATTCAAGTTATATACAGCACCGTACAAATAAACAGAGTCCGACTACTGAAAGAAGCACCATAGGAAGTGAGGCACAACAAAGGTGGGGACTTTTGAGTGCAAGTGGGTTTCTATGTCTGCTTAAACATGACTGTTAGGCACCGAATTTGCTCGTGTAAATAGTAACATGCAAACCTCTCGGCTGCAAACGTAAAAAATACATTTGGGTTCGTTTTCCTAGCACGACTATGACAGCGGAAACGCGCTAATGTTAACGAAGAAAACCAAAACAGAGCACGAACATCTATGTCTCGGTTGGTACGCGAATATAAAGTAATGGGGAAGCGGACATAGGCCTACAAGCCGAACGGACAACAGCAGCAGCGGTAGCGGTAGCAGCAGCGGCAGCAGCAATATAGTACGAACTCAAACTGCGCAGTCAGAATGAGTGACGGGAAGCAGAGCCAATGACGGGAAGCCAAGCTTTCAGAGCCGAAGCGGATGGGCCATAGGAGAGTCCTGCTATTTAAGTGGAAAAAAGATCATATAAAAACCTCCCACTTCAATTAAATATCCTCTCAAACTGGTCACTTTCATAAATAGCTAGTTAATAAATAGGTTTTCTATGGGACTTTCTAGGGAAGGCCAAAGACTGATGGTTTTCAAAGCTCAGGGGTGATGAAAAACACAATCTGCATGTCTGAAAGCAGTCCAAACGTGTGCCTTGTGATTGAATATGGACTTCAAATGAAGAAAGAAAAATCTCGTTATGATTGGTACACGTTTCGTTTGAACTGATAAGAGAACAAATACTGATGACAAATAACAGGTAAAAGTGTGCTCCTGTGCTGCCTCGGAATAAAACGGCATTCCAGGAGAGGAGAATAAAAGATAAAATATGAGATCCATATACGATCGTGAACTTAAGTATAGTATGGATAACTGGAAAAAAAACAATAAGCATGCTTTTTTTAGTGGAAAACAAACACACTCGTTCAGAAGGGGACAGGATGTGCATAAGACTACAGTTCCCATGATTCCCTTGCACTTGGACCCCATGACAATGCTGAAGTGACGTAATAAGTTTAAAGTGCTACTCGACAGGATGAAAGTGGCGCGTGTGTCGTGACTTCCATCTGCAGATATCCATGCCAGTATCTCTCACTTGGTCGGTGGAAAAAAGTGATCTGGAATCTGAACGGCTTGTTAAACCCCCTCTTTTTTAAAAATAAGTGTCATGATGCAGTTCAGGTAGGCTGGATCAGAGTTCTACATCTCCATTTCAGGAAAACGCGAAACGTGAAAAGGAAGGAAAAAATACCAGGAACCATGTGGATTGACATATGAAAAGTAACTAAGGGTAGGCGTTTCTACTCTTTAAAGAATAAGTGCAACATAAAAGCTTTGTTGTTGTTGTGAGTCACATCCCCAAGATTTAAGATTTTTTTCATGGCACTCAATTTGGATTAGTTGTGAACAGTTTTTGTGCACGAGTCCTGGAAATGCACAAACAAATAGAAAATTTCTCAATCCTATGACCTATGTGGTCTCTCACGCAAACAATCTGTGCCAACACACGTGTTCTTTAAATACAGGAAAGCATACAAAACCAAACAAACAAACAGAGATTTAGCCGAGGAGCCCAAACATCCATACAAGGCCCCAAAGTTCTAGCAAAAACCAAAAAAAAATACAAAAAATAAACTTTGTATACTTGGTTCCTCAATTTTCGATTCAAATTGTGCAAAGGGAGTGTACTAACAGTGAAGCCACTCCCCTTTAGGTCCAGGAGGAAGTACTAGAGAGCACAGGTGACGGCACACGCTCTCTACTGCCCTCTGCAGGTGTGTCCGAGTCACACGGGTTTGTCGCGCCGGCTATCCTTGACCTTGACGAACAGGGTTGTGCTTGCGCCAGGCTGGGCGGGGCGGCTGGCTGTCCTCTGGTTGGAGGGTGGTGTGTTATTGCTGTGCTGGTGCAGGAAGGAGGCGGAGCCTGGGTACGTCTGACTCATCACCTCGCTATAGGTGGGCGGCGGCCCCTCCACGTGCGAGTTCGAGGCACTCTTGCCAGAGTTGCTGCTCGGGGGCCGCGGGCCGCCTCCGTGCACGTAAACGTCTATCAGGTCGCTGTCGAAAATGGTCCGGTTGGGGGGCGCGCGCACAGACGCACGGCTCAGCTCGAGCTGCTGCTCGGGGTCTCTGAGCTGCAGGGTACAGGGGCCTTTGTAGGGCGGCAGCTCCTCGCCGTCTGACAGGCAGATAGTGGGCGGCAAGTGGATGTCCTGCTGCAGGTATGGGTAGGTGGGCTGGAAGCGGCTGAATCGGTCCCTTTGCATAAATGAAGGTGGGTTGAAGCGTTCTCCGCTCCGTGGCCCATACATCACCTGAACACAGAGAAGAAAACATTCATTATACCAGGGATCCTCAAATCTGGCCCGCAAGATCCACTTTCCTACAGAGTTTAGCTCAAACCCTAATCAAACACACCTGAGCATGCTATTCAATGTCTTCAGGTTCATTAGAAAATCACATGTAGGTGAGTTTGATCAGGGTTGGAGCTAAACTCTGCAGCGCATTGGCCCTCCAGGGCAAGATTTGAGGAACCCTGCATTATACCTTTAGAAATTAACTTAAGAATAAAAATAAGAAAAAATGCAAACATGCAGCCAGACTAATTATACAATTAGTTTTTACGATTTTTTTAATGTATTGAAAGAAGTGTCTTACGTGCCTCAAGGCTGCATTTATTTGACCAAAAATACAGTAAAAACAGCAATATTTTGAAATATTTTTACAATTTAAAATAACTGTTTTTAATTTGAATAGAATTTAAAATGTAATTTCTTCCTGTGATGTAAAGCTGAATTTTCAGCATCATTACGCCAGTCTTAAGTGTCACATGATCCTTCAGAAATTATTTTAATATGCTGATTTTCTGCTCAAGAAACATGATTATTATTATCAATGTCGAAAACAGCTGTGCTGCTTCATATTTTTGTGGAAACCATAATACTTTTTTTTATTCTGGATTCTTTGATCAATAGAAAGTTTATGCATCCTTGCTGAATAAAAGTATCAACTTCTGAACCCAAACCTTTGAACAGTAGTGTATATTTAGTAAACATTACATATAAGTAAATATGGCTCTTTATGACTTTGCACTGTTATATTGTTGTATATAATAAAAAGGATATATTTGTATTTATTTAGTGTAAATAGAGTCATTTCAGAGCATTAATGTTGAAATATATTGATTGTCCACGAAAGGGTGAAAGAAATATTATGATTTTCGTGCTATTAGCTCTTAGCTATGTTGCCCAGCCATAGACACGACAGTAAAACATAAGAGAAAGGAATAATATTTTGCAGAAAAGTTGAATAATAGGTCATGTCAGTTAACTAACCTCAGTGGCTCCTTGTTGCGTCACCAAACTATCTGTTGGCCATGCACAGCCGTCCTATGATAGAGAAAAGAAAGGCCGATGTGAGTCATGCATTAAGAACAAGACAAATCAACTTCATCTCATGCATTAGAGTTTTAAGTTTGGGTAGAAATTCTCAAATTCGCTCCAGGCATCAGAAAAGTTTGCGGGTGAGGAGGGCCCAGGCCGATAGCCGATAGTGGTTCAGCAAACAGATGATTACAACTACCATTACAGTCATCACCACAATTATGATTATTATCTGAACAAACTCCAGTTCAGCTGCAAGACAAGAAAACAGAGAGAAAATCATTAGCATATTTCACACATGCACAGAGCTGCAGAAGTTACAACATTTTTATATTTTCAATCTATTTTCCCTGTGCAAAACTTGCTTGTTTTATTATCCGCCAGTTGAAAATCATAGCTTGATTGCTTAAAAAGATAAACACCACATCTAACCTCAAAAATGCACATAGTTTGACCAGATATCATTCATGTTTGCAGCATAAACAGTACAAGACAAGCATTCACTTTTAGGGGTTATGTTTCATTAAAAATAGTGATTCATACTAGAAACTTCCCAGCAGGTGTGTTGAGGCAAGTTGGAGCTAAACTCTGCAGGACACCAGCCCTCCAGGACCGAGTTTGGGCACCCCTGCTCCACATGTTAAAATGCACAACTTTACAGCAGAAAAAAATGTTTACAGCATGGTTCAAAAAATTGTTTTGGTCTATATAGCTAATTTTGCCCTTCATGACAACCGTGAGGGGGGTGAATTTTTTAATAACTCATCCGTTTAAATTATATTAAGCCTTAAAGTCCAGCTCCCGCCTCTTTGCCCATTTTCGATTATCCGGGAGTGACGCACGGTGACGCGCTGCCAAGATGGCGACGGCCGACTCCGCCCACTTTGAGCTTCAAAAACGCTCTTCAGGAACCTATGGGTGACGTCACCAAAAGGGTCTGGCTGCAGCCTTGCACTTGCACTCTCAGACTTGCACTCTCAGACACTTGCGCTTCCGCTAGCGACGTCACTTGCAGTCTTTATTTTTTATTTTGTTCTATTTTTTATTACTTTTTGTTTGAATCTCTCAACATTTTACAACAGTAGCCAGGTGGTGAAGACAAGAAAAAAGAAACTAAATTACAATCGCCACTTGCACTCTCCGCTACCTGCGACGTCACTTGGTCTGAGAGTGCAAGTCTGAGAGTGCAAGTCTGAGAGTGCAAGTGCAAGTCTTCAGCCAGACCCTTCTCGACGTCACGGACACTACGTCCATGTTTTTATACAGTCTATGGTAATGACATGGCAAGCCCATCATGTTCTTCATTCTTACCACCAGGGGGCAGTAACGTGACCACAACTGAGAGTATCGACATTGACAGACCAAATTCAGACTTCAAAAGTGACGCGACAGACTAATCCACAAAAATGTGACAACATGACGTTTCAAATGGCTTTTCTGACCTACATCAAGTCAAAGAATGGAGACAAAAGAGAAACGAGAGAGTTTTGGGGTTATTTTTATTATTAATGTGAGTTGGATTTTAACAAGAGCAGCACAGCTCAATACGTCTGCTAGGCCACAGCTCTGATTTCATAAACTGATTATGTCATGGGTAGACCTCACTCAATCAAAGGAAGGAATTCATTTTTTGTTAATCTCATCATTCTTCCTCATCTCAGAGGAGCATGTATTGAGAATCCTTTGAAAGGAAGTGCCTGAATGAACATGACAGTCTACTCATCATCGCTTTAGTGATTCTTCTCCAGCAATTGTGAAAAACGATCAGACATGTTGTTCCAAACAGGGTAGACCTCTCTTTCAACCTCCTGCCGACCGTTGAACACACAGATGGGCCCAGTCAAAACGGACTTGTTCTCCAGTCACATGAAAACCATGTAGAAATATGCCACACGTACATTCAGAGAAATCTTGTTATCCCTGCTGTCCACTGACTGAGTAACCCAGACAATTGCATCTGACACGTGAAGGTTTATTATGAGACAATGGAAAAACTGCTGCAAAGCGGCGGCACTGAAGTAAACCCTCACACAAACACCATCAGCTGTCTAACACAATCTACACTAATGTTAATGGTAATCATTTTCAAACATACAGCTATGACATCAGCAACACACAGGGGGGCTTTTTTTTACGCAGGAAAAAAGATCTGAGCGAAATGGGTGCTTTGACGGTCTTTTCCCAGAAGCTACAAACTCAAATTCATCCTCTTTAAAGTCGGCATCTATTTTCCAAATGCATGTTATATATCTTATTGTGAACATTTCATTTTATTTATACATTTTTTTTAATTGACCTCATAAAGTTTCACTAAAATTTCACGACGGGATCTTCTGGTGAAAACGTCAGACTTCTCTCTGGTAATGTATGCTGGACTTCTCCCATCATTCAGTCCACTTGATCCGGCCCCTGCAAGCTTATCTGCCTCCACTTTTGAGTGCAACATCCACCTCTCTCAATCCAATCACCATCCGATGCATTAAACCAAGTCCTCGCTCTTTTTTGATAATCCCTCGGATAAACATCACAATAAAGAAGAAAAGATCTGTCACTACTTCCGGTAGTTCCTCATTGCGACTTTAAGTAAAATTAATCAATCAACCTCAATAACCGACTTGTCAGTGGACTAGTCAACCATCCTGACTCCTCTCTACTGAAAACCAGTTTTGTGTACTGTAGCTAGTAGTTTCTTTAGGTGAGCAGTCTCAAAACTTTAGTTTCTGACCTTTCCATCATGGCCACTTTCTCTCTACAAGAACAAGGCCGTACCCAAGATGCAGTTGGGCCATGTAGTGACAATGTTAAATAAGCTGCGGCTCCTCTGCAGAGAGTGCTTGCAAGACAAGGCCCCATCTGTTGAGGGCTTGGAGGAGAGGACCAGAGACCAGACGCAGCCCAGGAGTTAACCCAGCACAGGAGATAAACCAGCCCAAATCTGCCGCCCCTAACCGGATTATGGCCTGGACCAACTCCAAGAGACAGACAACTGGTGGTAGTGTGAAGGGGATGGGGAGGGGTGAACATGTAACTGACACATCTCATCCTCCGAGACACTAGGGTTGTAATCTCAGCCAACCTAGAGTAGCAGGCACTGCTCTAGCACCATTCCTCCATCCAGGACAGTCCACTGCTGCTTTAACACACTGTAACAGTTTTCTCTAAGCTGCCAGGCTAATCTTATCAGAGCATCCTCACTCGGTCCTCCTTAAAAATGACCTGTTCTGACCCAAACAACCCAAACAAGAGATGATGGCATCTAATGCGGTAAAAATGGACTGTAGTCAGTGGGGTTGTGCCGATAGACGATAGTATTGTGTATCGACGATAGTCAGAGATATCGCCTGTGGCTCATGCCTTTTACGATATCAAGACGATTTTTATTATTATTATTATTATTATCAGGCTAGTAATACTATCTAATTAATATTAGGGCTTATTTGTTCCATCATATTTCTTTTTCTGTGTTTTTAGAGTGTTGCGTGTTATAACCAGTCACACTTGACTCCATACCTTTCAACCCTCCTGTTTTTCCCGGGATTCTCCCGCATTTTACCATTCTATCCCGCTATCATCCCGTTTAAATATTTTCCCATATTTTTAATCTTTCTATTAAAAAAAAAACAATTTCACTGGGCGTATTTTATATGTTTGCTACATTCGCTTACGGTAAAACTCCCGTAATTTGTATGGGCCAAACCTCATTATATGAATAATCACGTCAACAAATTTCAAGGTTGTCCAGTTGCCAGATCTTGTATGAAACGCATCTTTCTCACATGATCGACGCATACAAATTTCAACCCATTTCTGCTCTCAACTTGGCAAACTACAGCCCAGTGATGCTATTGATATGTGCGCAGGTACCGCGGGAAGGAAACAATGATCACTGGTAGAAATGGGAGGAGAAGACTCAGGTGGTGCTCCAGTGAAAAAAACTAAATATACATGTAAACTGAGATATAGCTTACACTTCAAAAGGCTATGATTTATTACAATTGTTTAATTGATTAAATATGAGCGCTGCAAATTTCAAAGTCAGGTGCTGCGCTGCTTTGTTTACTGCAGATACGGGGGAACGGGCTATATCCTGGCAAAAAGCGCCTTAGCTTTTCCTAGCCTTAAAATCCTAGCCTTACCCTGGAGTTGGTTCACTCTCCGGCTATGAAACTAAGTAAGTAAATAATTAAATAAATTAGCATGATAATATTGTGTATCGGCGATCTCACAGGCTGACGATAGGACGATATGACTATGGAGCATATTGCCCAACACTAGTAGTCAGGGTGGGCTCGAATGAAAAGGCTGAGGTACAGGTGTACAGTCCATTCAACAGGTTGTACGGTCTTGTCTATTTTCCACAACTGATGCTGCCCAGGGTTTTTTTGCTCACTAAACTTTTTTTTGGAAAGACACCTTTTTAATGTTTTGCCAGCTAAACAATCAACACCTATACCTATACCAACTCTACATCTTTCTCTCACAGTTTTAATTTGTCAAATTAAATATGCCTCCTAACCTTACTAGGGTCCATTAAAAGTAAAAGTGTATCGGGTGTGACTGGTCTTGATTTGTTTTAGCCAAATTAGCTACTACTCAGATACCAATGAAACTGAACTAACAGCGCAAGTTACATAAACTCGTAATCCCTATATAAAATCATATTCCTTGAGCCTCGTTTAACCTTCCCTGTGCTAATCAGAGGGTTCAAGCATTTAAGTCAGACGTGACGGCATTCCGGAAGATCTGTTAATGTATTATGATTACAGACACAAACCCCAGAGAGAGCAGACACAACAAACCGTCGTCAGCCTGTTTGCAATAGGGCGGAAATTTAAACAGGCTGCGATAATGTGGCAACAACTACACAACAGTGAGGGAGAGAGGCAGCTGGGATAATTCGGGTTAGCCTTATGCGGACTCTCTGAGATCAGACAGCTCAATCCTCTTACTGCTACGTATGCTGCTCCATTGTGTTGTTAGCTAAGAGGAGATATGTGCTAACACCTGTCACAGAGCCTCTAACAGGTGAACTGGGTGCGGCGTTGTTCAAGCAGTCGTCACCTCGTCTCTAAGGTCGTCTCTAGCACAGAAGTGTGCTAGAAACTGCGGGACTGCTCTCTTCTGC